AAGCAGTATGCCTTGTTAAGATTTGTGAATTCATCATAGATGCGTCATTTTCCATTTTTCTTTTGAACAACAACGACATTTGCAAGTCAGTTTGGATACTTTACCTCACGCGTTTTCCCATCTTAAGCAATATATAAACATCGCCGTTGATACCTTTATTTAGGGAGAATTTACGTCGTTTTTGCCTCACAGGTTTGAAGGACGGATCAACATTTAACTTATGAGTTATAATATCTGAGCTTATACCGACCATATCTTCCTACGTCTAAGAGAAACAATTGGCATTAGATCGTACAAAAACAAATAATTTATCTTTTAGTTCTAGATTTAGTGATGCTCCTACTTGGACGACTTGATCAGGTTTACTCGGATCAAACATGACTTTTTGCAATTACAAGTCATCGGTCTTATCCTAGTAACTTGTAGCTATAATTGATAGACCGAGCCTTCTCTGGGCTTCATTTTTTTAGAGTATTCTCTACTCGTTTTTGCTCGATTCTTATTTCATGGACTCCCCACAAAGATGGAAATTTTATTGTCTGATGGTAGGTTGACAACAGTCCTACATATCGTGGATCTATAGGCATCCAAGGATGACATTATAAGTTGAAGGGCAATTAGAGACATTAAATTTAGTTGAGCAATTATAGGAAGGGTTTTTTCACCAACGGTGTTGATGACGTCCCTATTGAACCGAACAACAACGGTCGACCATTGAGCGTTCTTCCCGTCGCTCAAAACCATGTTTTGAAATGTTTTAAGAAAAATTAAATTTGTAGAACTGTCTCCACCAAAAAGAACTCCTTGTAGATCAATTGCCAATTGGGATTTGAATCATCAATTCTTCATGGTGTCCTTGCCATAAACCAAAAATATCTTCCCGGTCGAAAGATATTGGCATCACTTCCAAAGTCACTTCTGCCTCTGACATGTTTACCTTGAAAATATGAGACCTTTTTGGTGTAAAACTGACATTTCTTTTTGCGACATAATATGTTAGTTCACAGTTATATGATCCATCACTGATACAGTTTATTACCTCTACATGAGCAGGCCGTGAGGGTCACTGGTAGATCTTTTGGACTCATCATTGCTTTAGAAATGAGCAATGCAATCTCTTGATCCTGTAGGTTTTAGGATGATGGACCATAGGAGGGTTGCTTCAGTCAAGGTCTCCCCAAAACACTTACACATACAAACTTCCTGATAATTTTGGGGTACCAAACCATCCATGAAAGTTATTTATACTAGGAGACAAACTCATATGGGGTGGTCGTCCCATAATATTTTGGGGTGAAAGAAGGAATTTTATAATTTTTTGGGAACGTTGACCACAGCTATATGGTTGGACAAGGGTGGGGCTTGGAATTCTGTAAAGGGTTCAACGTCGACCGAGACGACTCCACTGGAAAATTTACTTTTTTGAAGACGCGAAAGAGTTATCCTTAAATGTCCCTATTCAATAGGCTTTCTATCTCCATGTAGTTGGTCAACAACCAAATCTAGCTGAGTCAATGGGAGAGTTTCTACGCCTCTTTTCAAGAGATACGATTCGAGACTCCTTCAAGCCAAAATTAATCTCGGGGAGCTTGCCTTATGCATAAGTTTCCAAACAAAACCAAATGGCGACCTTTTGCATGATGGGTCATAAAATGGTTTAAGACTTTTTCATTTTGTTCTTTTTTAGCATTTATATACGTTGAGACATGTTATCATGTTTAGGGATGTTGTTCGTTACAGGTATGGGGAAGTTCTGAGTCACATATCCGGAACTTTAGCTAAGGAATCATTTAATTACATGGGCACATTTCATTGAGAAAAATCATCGTTATTATGAATTTCTAGAATTCCTTGTGACTGGATGGGTCGGCTTATTGGAAGACTTATAGCAGGAAATGTAGAAAACATCAAACTATTAGTCATGGGTTGAGTAGGTTGAAGGAAGTAGAACCAAAAGGGTGGAGGTGGAGGTAAGATTTTATTTGGGATCATCGTCTAGCTTATAAGGTTTGTCTCGTACAAGAAAGGGTATTAATTAAATGATTGGTGAAATTTGGAGGTCGAATTATGGAAGACCCAACAGTACCAATAGGTGTAATGACAATACCTTATCACTACAATTCTGAAACCCTCTCTGTTGCTGCTATAGCTTCTTGATAGGCTTTAGAATTTTTGTTAGTTAATTGAGTGATTTGACGTCGAGATGCATACTACTCATCTTATATCCTTGCTATTACACTTCAATAAAGAATATGCAATAGACATGTTAGAAAGTCTATTTGTTTTAGATAGAACTTTAGTTAGAGTCCAATGGATTACGCCCAATTGTTTATGCCAAAATTCGTACAAGTCAATTTATAAAACAACTAAAGTTTGGATCTTTGAACAAAAGACAACAAAATACTAAGTCGGACTCTGAACAGTCTAAAGCTAACTCTGAGACAGTTCCAAAGATGGGTACCTAAAACAAAGTAATTGTTCTTGCAGGAGAGTCGTGTGTGATGCTTAGACTCGGGATGCTGAAGATATATGACTGGATTTAAGCACATATTGACAAATTTAAAAAGAAAGACTGGAGGAACAGTTAACTTCGGAAATGATGGTAAATGTTATGTAAGAGGATATGGTATGGTCATAAACGGCAAGGTCACCATACTGAAAGTACTTTATGTTGAAGGCCTAAAGCATAATCTGTTCACCTTAAGTCAATTATGTGACAAACTATTTGATGTTCACTTTCATATTAAAGGTTACATTATCAAATATCCAAATGGCAATGAAGTGCTAAGTGCAAAAAAAAGATGGTGATTTTTTATTTTGCTTACTTTCCTACTCTAGATACATCAAAAACTATATGTTTAATCTGAAAGATTAGCAGAGAAGAATGTTGGATTTGGCACATAAGGTTATCACATATGAATTAGCCATTGATATGTTAGGAAAGAATAACCTTGTAAGGGCTTACCTACGATGAGATTTGAGAAGGATCCTCTTTGCTCAACCTGTAAAATAAGTAAAATGAAAAAAAGTTCACATAAAGCAAAAATGGGATTGTTGATCCTCTCTCTCAGTGATTTGATGATAATCCCTTTTTCCTTTCGATGTATTTCTGTATCTGTAATTTCAGTTCCAGCGATCATACACTGA